TTTTTTTTTTTGTTGTGGGGGGGGGGGGGGGGATGGGATTGTGTGGACACAAGAGTGGGGAAGAACAGATACCTTTTCTTTTTGTAGATACTTCAGCATCACTGGTAACTGGGGCTTTGGTCGGGACATCAGGAAGGTCCAACTTTTCTTCGATTTCTTCATGTGTTGAGGAGGGAACTTCAGGAAGATCGTGGACTGTAAGCTGAGACGATAATATGAACTCAGTCAATTTCCATAAAATAACAACTTACTGGGATATGATGCCTCTATTGCATACTTAAGCCTTTTGATTAAGAATTTGACGTTTCCTTGGATGCTACTTAAGTGAGTATTCTTTTATATCATATCCCTAATTTTGAATTCATAATCTCTGTAGTCAATCACTAGCTCAAAACTTTGCAAAGAGGCGCACACAAAATGAATTCTAAGTTTTTGCTGGCAGCATAACTACCAGAAAGTTATATTATGCAGCTAATTGTAGCACACGTCTTTTTATCAATAGATCACATTCCACAAATGATCTTCTACTCATTCATCATGAAACAAAAGTAAAGCAATTTTAACCTATAAAAGAAGAAGCTCTATTAACCTTGGCTAGTACTATATTATTCCCATGCCATTCCTCCATAAAAGAGGTGCAGTATGGGAAACGAGTTAAATTGAAGCATGGTAATAACGAATGTCCTATTCATTCTACTTCGATTAAGCCAACAGTTTGATTGGAACAATTTAAATAGATGATATTCATATTGGAGTTGGTAGAATTGATACAAAATTACAGAAAATGGAATATACCTGGGTTTCCAAGTCCTCAAATTCTGCTAAAATCTCCTCCTCGTCTTCTGCGGATAACTTCTCCCCCAATACCGCATTAATTTCCTTCAAGTTCAACCAAATTATGGCAATCATCAGTGAGCATCAAATGTAAACAAAAAGAAATCAGATGGAAATTGAAAAATGAAAAGTAGAAGCCAAATATTAATAACAATACCACTTAATACAAACCCTAAACCCTAAAAGAAAGCTCAACCTTAGCATAACAAATCTAGACCTAGAAATCAGTATTCAAAAGCAGAAAGAATAAGAACAGTAAAGTCAAACTCACATCTTGATAAGCTTTAGCTTCAGCAGTGTCATCCATAAGTTTCTGAACATCTTCAATGTTTATCTCACTTTGTATGGCTTTCAGTGCATCATTACCAGACTTCAAACTTTCAAACACAGCCTTCTGCTTGCTTGCCAGTTCAATATCTGCTAACTGAACCAGAAGAATAAGTGTAATATGTATTTGCTTTCTATGTATAATCAAGTTAAAAAAGAACATTGTTAATGCACAATAATCTCTGAGCACGAGTACAAGACACAAGAAGGGAAAAGAACTGGTTTGGCACATAGAAACAGACAGTTGTAAAGCCATTAAAATATACAAACAGGTAGCAATAAACTTATTACTATTGGACAAAAAAGAAACAAAACAAAGAAGCAAAATAAAAATATGACAGAGAATAACAAAATAAAATTTAAAATATTACTTGTTGTTCAACATTTAGAAGCCAAGCATCAACTTGCTTCAACAATTCTTCTTGTGCCTTTTTTTTCTTTAGTGCTAACAAGGCCCTGTCCTTCTTCTTCTCACGAATCAAATCTCGTGCAGCTTGCTTTTCTGCTTCAATAACAGCATCAAGCTGGAAAACAATAAATAAATAAACTCAAGTAAGGAAACATATCCTATAGGGTTCAAGAATACTTATATTCTAACTTAAATGCTCTATCACCATTAACAAGACAATAAATAAAAAGCACAAGCATCATCAACATTCTCAACAGATAAAGTCTAATTCAACTAACTATTCTTACTATCATCATACTTATTATCCTTTTATTGAAGCTTATTTGTAAGGCAATGTGTCTAGCCAAGTCAGAATACTTACTGAATTACCAAGGAGAAACAAAATTGGACAATGAACCCAAAGGGAAACAGTTGAAAAATGAAATCAATGCCTCTCCAAATTCACAACAAAAGAAATATGCATGAAATAAAATGCAGTTAACATGCAAGCACACACACCCAATCACATACCACCATACAATTTCAATTAGAAGTCTGTTCTTTACACTCAAAAATAAAAAAACATGTTGATGATTAAAAAAATGTGTCAGTCTAGTTTGGACACTTAACTGATCTATTCTTGAATTGCCCCGCCACCACCGCTATCAGATTAATTTGAATGCAGCATAATCAAAGGCTTTGGTATGGTAAGGAGGTTATAAAATAACCCTATGGAAGGATGCAATGTAACAATCACCTAAACCATCCAAAGCCAGTGGGCAAACACTTAACCATTAAGCAAAAGCCACAATGTAAGGCTTAACCACTTAACAAAAGCAAATCTGCTTAACCACCCAAGAGGCAAAAGCAAACCAAGGATAAATACTTAACCATGGTAAAGAAGCAGATGCAAATCAACACTTAACCATCAAGAGCAAAAGTTAAACATAAGGCTTAACCACTCAAGACATAAGCAAAACAAGGCTTTTAATGTTTAACCATCCATTGCAGAAGCTCACATCAATGCTTAACCACCATGGACAAAAGCTTACATCAAGGGAAAAAAAAAAAAGTAAAACAAGGCAACGCAAATATGCCTTGAAAGAGGATTAGTCTCAAACACATTGTGATTGTCATCAGCAAACACATTAGAAGAAAGAAGCTACAATCAATTCCCAAAGAGCTGAAGTGAACCCTCGCTCATGAAACTAGGCCTCACGGCCCCATAATCTCTCTCAAATGTCATTGTTGCAAAATCAATCGCATCTGACATCCCTGCTGTCACCGCCAACACCAAAACCAAGGGTGCCACAAAAGAGAAAGACAACATAATGAATTCCAGTGACAGAGTGAACAATTGGCATGAGTCTTGAACAATTAAGAAAACAAGTCCCAAGTCCAATTAAAATACACGGTGGCAAAACCACGTTAGTAAAGAAACTTGAGTGGCAAAAGCAAGCTTAAGAGCTCGATGAAGTGGAACAGTGGGTGGTAATTTCTAACTAGCTATATCTCTAAATTCTAATCCTAAGATACAATCCTTTAAGCGTTCTTTGTGCTGTATTCCAAACAAAATTAGAATCTCATTTCGGTAATTCACATAACCCTTTAATCCAAATATTTATTACATGAATTATCAAGGTAAAACCCAATTCTGATTGAAAAATAACAAACTCTAATTCTGTTTGAAAAATATATATTACACAAATTACCAAGTTGAAACTTCAATTCTAATAGAAAAACAACTCTCTAATTCGGATTGAAAAACAGCACGTGCAACACCTAAGTAAGTTAATCTAAGTTTTGTCCATACAATACAACCATCTTCTCAGAAAGCCCAAAATTTATTCATTCGAGCTATGTATTAAAGGGCCCATTTTTTTCTCAATTAACTAATATTTAAGGTAGAACTCTTCCTGATCATATGTGGCCTATTATCTTGTAATGATAAATTTGAGAATCACAAAGGCAAAAAATTATTGACGGGAAAAGAGGGTTACCTTCTGTTGATATTGGGCGAGTTTGCGTCTCTGGGTCTTGAGTGCGAGGATTGCTTTATCGACATCTGTTACCTTAGGCTTCTTCACGAATATATTACCCATCAATTATTCTGATCTGATTCTTCACACTACGGATGTCACTCAATCTGTGCCTGAACTCCAATGGAATGAATCGATGATATTCGAAAGCGGGTATTGATGATGATATCACAGCATAGCTGTAGGTTCCAGCGAATTGAACGAAACAAACACTTTGACAGGGTTTTTGGAACAGCCTGCCCACCGGAGGAAAAAAGCGAAACCACTACGCTTCTTTCTCTTTGCTGGCTCTGGATACTCTGTTATAAGAAATTTATTTTATTTAGTTTGGTTAAACTTTTAAATGTTTTTTATTTGGTAAAAGTATTAAAATAATATATTATAAATTACCCGTAATAGTTAGTTTTATATTTAAATTAAACGATTGTTAAAAAACTATAATAAAAATATATATATATATATCATCTTGAAGACTCAAATTGAGAACATAATCAATCACTTAAAGTATTTGAATTCATTTATATTCAAACTAATGACTAGTTTTTAAAATAAGTTATTGGTAATAATAAGAAAAATATGATACTAAATGTCTTTTAATATTATTTTGAATAAATGTTAAATAATTATTTTTTGTTATAATAATTAACCGAATTAAAGTTATATTAGATAAAATTTTATTAAGTCTAACAAATAATTTAAAATTGACCTTACTTGCTACACACATAAGGATATAAATGTAAAAGGAAAACGATGAAAAAGAAAATTTATCATTTATCCTACATTCTTGTAAATAGTTGTGTGTATACTACTTATTGTATTTTTTTGTCTAAGTTATTCATAATCTTAAACAAATTGTTTCCTTTCTAAAATTATTCTTGCAAATTATTCACCGGATTCCCTTTGAACTTTAATGATGTGAATTAGTGTTAAAAGGCGTGAAAAAGTATTTATAGTGTATTTATTGTTGATTTAGATGGTTGTTTGACCATTAAAGATTGTAAGTGGTTGAATTTGTCAACATTTGCAATTATAAAAATCACAATTTTTGTTAAAGGATCTTCGCTCTCTTAGTGAGATCATACAATATTTGAGTTTATGACTCAAAAGAGTTACATTGAATGATAGAAAAATCCTGTTGAGAAAGAATGAAGTATGAAGGTCGTTTAAGACAAGTTAATTAAGAGAAAGTCCTTGTTAAGACAAAAGATCGTAATAAAAAGGTTGTCACATTTTCTTTCACTAAGTGTCATGTTGTAAATTACTAAGTAAGTCCAAACTTATGATTCATATTATATTTTCATGCAATATTTTGTTTATGTTATGTCATTGGATGAAGAGACTCTTTGAAAAGGAAGGGGGAGAATAACCCCTCAAATACCCAAAACATGACTCAAGATTTTCATTATAGAAAATAAGACTCAAGGTACCCATTTTGGTAATAGGTGATATTTTTTCACCTTTTATCCTTAAATATGTGTAAAACTCATTTAGATCGAAACACATAAAAATACGAGATAACAAAGTAAAGATAACGAGAATGTCTTTTGAAAGCTAGAGCTTAGTATTATGTCATATGGCAAAAAAAGGGAAAAGATAGTAAATGTGACAAAGTTATTTTTTAAAAAAGATTAAGTTTGTGCCCATGAGAAATGTTTAAGCAAAACTTTATGTAAATTATGTATTTACAAATTATGTACATCTTATTGCATTCCTTTTTACATTCATTGATGGATTGTCTTGTTAGTTTAGTTTCATGTTCCAAATTGATCGGCTATCAAGAAAAAATGAAGTGACTTAGAAAACATTCATGCTTTTATAATTATGTATCTTGATAGACTAAGTTATTTTGGAAAAATAGTTAATGTTTTTTTTATGGGGATTTTTCTCATATTATGTATATGATAGCATTATTCATAATAATGAATGAGTTTAATTACAATTTTTGTGAATAATGATATTATTCCTTTTAAGTGTTGTAGATCACTTTTAGGATTTTTTTTTTATTATTTAGCAAATGCATCTTGATAATGATGTTTTCCACAACTAAAACATGAAGAATTAGACTCACGCACTTTCATGAAAGTTGTGCATAAATCTGTTATTAAAATTTAGGCACTAGTCTTTCATCGTTTTGATTTTTATGTCTTGATATATGTTTAAAACACTATAACCATGTTAAATTATATAAAATACATTAAGTTTATTATTTTTTTCCATGATTCATGTTGAATTGTACCACAATTTCTTTATGAAAAGAGTAGTCTATTGTTCAATTTTTTTTACAAGCACCAAAATCATCTCAATTATATTACGAAAGTTTATGTCATCACTATTCTATTTTCTCCTGCACCAAACTTAAAATCACATAAAAAATAATACAATGCAACAAAAAGTCTTAAAACGAGAGATTTAGCTAATGGTGATTAAATTAGTCTTAAATCTATGACCTATGTTAAGGTAGACCACCTTTATAAGTGAACTATCATCTATGACTTGTCCCTTAGATTAATCTAAGACTCGTGTTAGTAAAGGAATTATCCTCGGTCATTAACCACCATGCATCATTGTTGGAGCACCAAAGTCTTTCATGCACCATGGTTGAAGATGGTTTTTCAACAGTTGTGCCACTTTTTCATTTCTTCCTTTTCCTTTCTTCTACTCCCCCTCTTTTTTTATGGGTTTGATTTTTTATTTGCATGCTTCACAAAAATGAAGCACATGAGTGCAACAAAGGCACAATGTGGCGACAAAGGTGCCCAAAGCATATCTGTAGCCTTATTATTCTTCTTGATCTTGTTTTTTATTTGTGATCTTTTATTTACTTACTCTCAACCTTGTGACAACCACAATTGTTGGTTAATAATAGTAACCACTAACTACCACGGTGGTGACAATAAATACAACTAAGCTCGATCAAAATTTATCAATCCATCCAAAATCGTGAAATCTAAAAGTAAAAAATAAAAATTTGAATGTGTAGAATGTGATTTTATGCAGTCGGTTTCGAGTAAAAAATAAATAAAACTATTGATATCCGAAATTGATCACACCTCTTGTTCATCTTTCTTTTTCCTATGAAACCAAATTATGTTTAAGATTAAGGTTATTATTAATAACCTGCTTAAGTTGCTGATAAGTCATCATATTGCTTACTAGTAGGGTTGTAACCTCGTTGCTAACAAACGTATCTCCATGCTCAGTGGAGACAATTTGTCCATCATAATAAACAGTGGCCAGAATAGTGAACGACTCCATTGATTGGATGTTTCAATCTGATGCATTTTAGCCGTTGTTACAAAACATTATATAGAACTAAAGCAACCTAATATGGACAAAGCCATTAATTTTCTAACGCTCTAGGACCAAGACAATGATACTCTACACAAAGCATTGGATTCCTGAGGCTCTGGGACCAAGGCAATGACACTCTGCACAAAGCCATTAATTTTCCTTATGCATTGGGACCAAAACAATGATACTCTGCACAAAGCCATTAATTTTCTGACGCTCTAGGACCAAGGCAACGACTCTCTGCACAAAGCATTGGATTCCTGAGGCTTTAGGACCAAGGCAGTGACACTCTACACAAAGCCATTAATTTTCCTTATGCAATGGGACCAAAGCAATGACACTCTACACAAAGCCATTAATTTTCTGACGCTTTAGGACCAAGGCAATGACACTCTGCACAAAGCATTGGATTTTTTAGGCTTTAGGACCAAGGCAATGATACTCTGCACAAAGCCATTAATTTTTTGACGCTCTAGGACCAAGGCAATGACACTCTGCACAAAGCCATTAGTTTTCCTTATGCATTGGGACCAAAACAATGACACTTTGCACAAAGCCATTAATTTTCTAACGCTCTAGGACCAAGGCAATGACTATGCACAAAGCATTGGATTCCTGAGGCTCTAAGACCAAGGCAGTGACACTCTGCACAAAGCCATTAACTTTCCTTACGCAATGGGACCAAAACAATGACACTCTGCACAAAGCCATTAATTTTCTGACACTCTAGGACCAAGGCAATGACACTCTGCACAAAGCATTGGATTCTTGAGGCTCTAGGACCAAGGTAATGACACTTTGCACAAAGCCATTAATTTTCTGACGCTCTAGGACCAAGGCAATGACACTCTACACAAAGCATTGGATTCTTGAGGCTCTAGGACCAAGGCAATGACACTCTACACAAAGCCATTAATTTTCCTTACGCAATGAGACAAACTAATTCAAATTTTTTCCACTATATATACACTACATATGTTCCAACTCTAAACACACAACAAAAGATCAATTCTCTTCAGCTATTACACTCTTCAATTTCGCTACTATTGTTTTTCAAGAATGTCTTCTTCATCTTTAACTATGTTGTGGAAACAACACCTCCATAGGTCAAATGAAACTCATCTTATGGTAAGTTAATATTTATTGCATAATGTTTACAACTAATATTATTCATTACTAACATTTCAATTCTACCATATTCGCAAACAAGTGATCAAGTGATTCAATCTTACTATCATTCCATGCCTACACCTGACTCAAGAATTGAGCATTTGTTGGAGGTTGCTAGCTTTGGCGAGGTTGCAAAAATTAGATATTTTAAAATCGATGATTGTTTGATAACGTCTTTGGTGGAGAGGTGGGGACATGAGAGACATACTTTTCACCTCCCAGTTGGTGAGTACACAATCACTTTGGAAGATGTGGCACTACAATTGAGTTTAAGGATCGACAGAAAACCAGTCACAAGACCAACTTTCTTTGACTGGGATGAATTGTGTTACAAGTTGTTAGGCTTCGTACCTCCGAAAGGGGAAGCTCTAGTTGGCTCAACCATAAAACTAAAATGGTTAAGAGACCATACAATTGCACTACCAGATGAACCCACTGAACAACAATTGCACCAACATTGTAGGGTATATATCTTAGGATTGATCGGTGGTATCATTATGTCAGACAAGTCAGGTAACAGACTTCACTTAATGTATTTACCACTGTTGGCTGACTTGGAACGTGCAGGACGATATAGTTGGGGTTTTACTTGTTTGGCACATTTGTACAGAGAAATATGTAGGGCAATTTGTCCATCGCCAAAGAAAAAGGGTGGATGTTCTTTGCTTCTACAGTCTTGGGCTTGGTATCACATGCCCTTCATCCAACCAAGAGTCCAACAGGATATTACATTTCTGCTAGCATCGAGGTATGAATTAGTTTTTATACCACTTTAATACATCGAACAACTAAAATTTTTTACCTAAAATTTTATCAATGTACAAATTTTTTAGGTGGTGAAGAAG